AAAAATGTTGGGGGTAATTTTGTCAATTGAGGGGCTTAGCACCTTCTTATTTCCTAGTTGTGTTTATGACAAGAAACCCTGAAGGAGTTCCTCGGAAATNTAAAAAAATGTTGGGGGTAATTTTGTCAATTGAGGGGCTTAGCACCTTCTTGTTTCCTAGTTGTGTTTATGACAAGAAACCCTGAAGGAGTTCCTCGGAAATCCTTCTACCCTAAGTCTATTAAGCGAATAGCAAAACCGCGTTACTTTAAACATATTTTTCATTTTTGTTTTGAAAATAACACACGAATTCTTATGAAATTATCATAGTAGTATTTATTTTTATATATTCTTTTTTAAAGTTCCAATGGTGTTTATAAAAAAGATTTCGTCATTTTATAATAATATAATTACTTTTTAATATAAAAATGATTTATTTTGTATAAAATTGTTATCAAAAAATTAATTTATAATTTTGGTATTTATAGATCCTTTTGTGTTGCTCAAAAGAATTCCGCAAGAAATTATAGACTCCTATGTGTTTAATAAAACAATTAATACAATCGAACTAGAAAAATTAGTAAATAATATAGAACTATCTAACAATGTTGATAGCATAAATAATTTTGATACACCAACTGATAATCCTACAAAAAATAAAAAGTTAAAAACGAATAGCTCTACAAAGAAAGTTTCTAAGAAAAAACGATTAAAAAGATCTAGATTCAATTGATGATCTCATCTAAACATTTAATTTTGATAAATCATGACCAAGCAATTTACCTTATAACTCTTACATTTTTTGCCGCAGAGACTATAGATTTAATTTAAACAAATTTATACTCCGCGGATGACTTATAATTGTTGAAAAATCAACAGTGCTGTATTATAAACAACTTTCAAGTTAGTAATAATTTCTGTGAACTTTCGTTCAAGAATTTTCAATTTAATGAATAGTTTCGTTTCTATCATTCATTTTGTACATTATTTTTTCTATTATATTTTTTATGTTGTTTTAATCATAAAAATTGTTTTTTTGAATTTTTTTTTTATTTAAGATCTAATGAACATTTTTGTCATTGGATGTTCAATGATTACACGATGCATATATTTTTTTTATTTAAAGATTTTTTGTGCTATAAATATTTTTAATTGTTCATTTTCAATTTTGTAATTCAATTTAATTTTTTAATATATTTTTGTACTTATTTGAAGTTTGTAATTATTTAAATGAATAGCGATAAGATAACATTTTGCTAAAATATATTTAATAAGAACAAATATGTTTTTATTTTTATATTATACAAATAATATTTTGTTTATTATATTATACTACATCATAATTAATGTAGAAAAGAAATCTAAAAAGTAATAAAAAATTAAATATATATATATATATATAGATATAGATATAGATATATTATTTAATTTAAAAATCTTTATTATAAAGTAATAATCAATACTTAATGAAATATGGTAACAAATTTTTCCGTGTCATCATCATATTTACGAGATTATTTTAAAATGTACATTTGACACAAAATTTGGTATAATTTCAGAACCGAATGTCCCCTTATTTCTTCGTTTTCCAAAGTCTTGGCCAAAAATTAATACTGAAAATTACAAGTCCGGTATCAACGATCGATTTATTTTTGAAAAATTGCAAAGTTCTATTGATCATATTTTAGAGTTTTGTTTAAATCAATTAAAACTATCCCACTTTAGAGAAGATTATAGAGAATTTCTTGAGCTAACAGTATTTTTTTTAAATGGAGTTCCGCCTAGAGGTGTATTATTTATAGCTCTAGGAGCGATTCACCATGCTCGATGGATGTCAAAAGCGCTTTATAATCGTAAAATATATATTTTTCGTGAACAATTCAAGTTGACACAAAAAGAATATAATTCAATCTCGAGTATATGCATTTTCTTGGTTAATTTATACATCAAAGTTTGGTTTAATGCACCAATAGCTGCTTTTTCGCCTCGACAAGATTTAGAATTTTTAAAAAATCTTTTCCAATATAAAACCATAGATGAAGAATTACCTAAAAATAATTTGAAAAAATTTGTTAACCATTTATAGGTATTTAACTTTAGACAACATTGCTTTAGCATTTTTCGATGAACATTCTACACATGACAAAAACTAAAATGGCGTTTAACATTAAAAGAATTGATACTGAAAATTTCGATGGGGAAGAATATTATGTCATAAAAAATAAACGCATATATTTGGACCTCAATAAAGTATCAAACTTTATAAAAAATAAAAATATAGAAGATTTTGTGACAAGTAAAACTTTAAATTTTTTTGATCGATTTAATATTGATTATAGTTTTATGGAAACAGACCCATCTATATGGGAAGAAAATTCAATTTATTGCAAAGGTCAAGAAATTATCAATAATTTAAAAGTAGTGAATGATACTGCGAGCATGCGGTAAAATTAATGGAGGATTTTAATAAGATAGGATCTAAAAACGAGGGACAAAAACAGTACATATTATAAGTTGTAACACGATATCCCTAACAGTAAAAAAGCTACATTAATGGGATAAATTATTTTTATTATTTATTCATTTTTTATTTATATTTCTATAATTTATACATGAATTTGAATATTGTAAAATATTGTAATAATTTATAATGTGTAAGTTTTATATTGCATTATTTATAATTATTTAAAAGATTAAAAAGATTCGTTGTCTTTTTACAATTATTTTAGAACGAAACTTATTATTTAAGTCTAAGTTTAACTTTTACTTATAAATTAAAAAATTCATAACTGTTTTTTTTTTTACAAAAAATATGAAATATTTAATTTAAAACAACTTTTACTCAAGCATTTTTTATTATAACGCAAACGCTTCATCGTATATATTAAAACTGTGAAAATTTCAGAATTTTACTCTTAAACATATATTTGGTTGAACTTTTAACTTTTGCGAGGTAAATATTTGACTTATGACTTTTTCAGTAATAACTTTTTTATGTAAAATATTCATATCTACAATTTTTTTCTTATAAACTTTTATGTAAAAGTCATAAATTTTGAGATAAACTACAATTATTGAAAAAATACCCTCATGATTGAATTTTAACCCTCTTGAGACACGGCTTAGGGTTGACCAAAATTAATGAAATTTGACAAAAATAATTTTTTTATAGTTTTGAACAAATTCCGGGGGTAGCCTGATCAAATTTTGAAAAAAAAAATTCCGCATCTATACATTAAGGACCACCTAGTGTACCGTGTATTGTTTCTATATAATAGAGTTAATTACTGTTATATTAATGATTTCTGACTACTCATAAAATATTCTTATTTAAAACAATTGAAATCCTATAGCCATTGAAATGTATTTATAAGGATTAATACAATTGATTCACCTTTTGTTGTTCTTATTTAAATTCCTAAAATAGATTGCAGTTAAATAGAAATATTTTGAACACCAAATTAAGGTTCGTATGAGTCAGAAAGCGTCAGTTAAGATTGTATCTTGCTCATTTTCCACCGTATTGTGCTATATAGTTAAGTGGCTAACTAACTACATAGTAGTATGTTCCATTCTATTCTATGCTATTCTGCTCTACCCAGTGAACACAGCACTGCTGAGATGATGCTCTTAGCCTTTTTACTTTATATAGTTGATAGTCCCCAACTCTAATTTTTGCTTATCTCGAATGCCGTACTGACTTTTTAGATTGTTTTATTACTATCATTTCATAATTTATTACACTGCAATCATGACTTAGATAACTATTACATGAAAAAATATATATTTAAATTACAATGTATTTTTATGATATCAGTTTGGTACATAATACAATTTTTGTGACATTATACTTTTTTATAATTTACATCCAAGTATATTAAAAATTATTTAAAAGTAATATGCGTGAATATTACAACATACCTATTACATATTCATCATTGTGTTCATCAAATTGTTTTTTAGCTTCGATGCGAAGCTGAGAAGGTATTAATTTTACTATAATGTGTTTTTTTGATTGCTTTTGTCGTTTTACTCTTTAGCTAAGAAAAAATGATGAAAACTGTAATTTTTAGGAAAATCTTTATTTTGTCATTTTAATTGAAAGAGAAAATGGAAAAAAATATTGGTAATAGATATTGCAGAAGTACTATTGCAAATTTCAATTTTATAATACTTTTACAGGAATCAAAAAAACTTAGATATATATCACCCTACCCAATTTTAATATTTTAATTATGTCGTAAACCAAAATATAGGGGAAGGGGGAAGGTGTAGTAATGAGGTACTGAATAGTGAAAGGAGTATTGAATATAAAGAACTATCATTGGTGTTTTACTCGGGGTGTGTGTTCGAGGATTTGAATGTTCTTACCTGAGCTTTTGGTTATCATTTAGGCATGTAGATAAGGTTTGTATAATAATGATATAAACGCAAAGCCAGATAGTTATTGATAATAAAACGATGTAATTAATGTTACTTCACTTATGATTATATAAAATAATTGTAATTATTAGAAAGTAATTACAGCACGTGAAGGTTACGCAGAAATATTCCTTTTAATTATCAAACACAAGCACAAGGGAAGAAAAAAAATAGTGTTTTTATTTCTAGGGGCTATTGCAACAGCTAAAATTTCCAATTTTTAAAGTCATTTATAGATTTATAATTTTCAAAAAAGAAAATAATCCTAAATATTCAACCTACTCCTTTAAAATGTAACGTGACAAAATATGAATTTTATGGTATAGATAGATTTACTGTTTTGCTTTGCTTATGTCCGAGCGTACGTTATATCCGGCCGTGTAATCAGAAAACTGTACTGTTGCTGTCAAGGTGAACGCTATATATACAATATTCTTTATCAGTTTATTAATCGTTCCTTATATGACACATACACTGGCCACCACTGTCAATACCTGTAAAATTTTAATATTGTTCATACTTTTATCTGTTTTATATTTTGTAAGTTGTTAAGCCGATACCCTCTCCCAAACGTAATCGTCGTCGTCGTTTTGTCTCGCCCGGTGTGTAACAAAAAATTGTGCTCTCTTCCCTTTGAACCACCGTCGTGGTATTTTGGCTGTGTGCGTACAGCCAACATTATTTTGTTTTTTTCGTGTGTGTCGTTTTTTTTTAATAATGTATTAATTCAACAAGGCGTCGGCCATTTTCCGGGGACGAGATCCCCATCTTAGGATGAGTACCATCCGGGACTGGGTATCGTATTTTATTCTATTTAATATATTGATTTGAGCCTTTTTCTGTTTTAAATTTTTTTTTTTTTATGAACTGTATGTGGATTTTAGCTATAATTAATAAATACAAGGTTATTGGTCAGTGGTGTGTCATGAATATTAAATACATATATATATATATATATATATTATTTCCGCAGTGCCCAAGTACGGTCGGATTACAAAAATAATCTGCCGCGTCGGGAGTACACGGACTTGTTCCGATGCGGAAGACACTTCACGTGTAATATTTAAAAGTTGTAGGTTAAATTTTTTTTGTCTTAATAATTGTTTTTTTTTCTCTTTTGCCCCTTCATTTTCAGAGTGGTTTTTGCTTTCGAGTTTTTTCCACTATTAACTTAATTGTAATAATTAATAAAGTCCCCTTAATTTTCTTAATCAACAAACATCTTTTTATTGCGTGAATATCTTCAATATTCATATGTATCTTTTTTTTTTATCTTTAAATAATTCTCTCTAGTTTTAAGGTAACGGTCTTCGACATTTTAAAGTATGTCCACCACTAGTGACATCAAACAAACATATTTTGTTATATTTTAAGGTATCAGCGTATTATAGTTTACAATAACACTTTATATTTTAGTATATGTATATATAATTTTTTTTAATCCACTTTGTTTCATCAAAGTGTATATTACTTTATTTAATATTATTGGTTTATTTTCTCAAATCCACTTATAGTCCGGGTGTTGTTCTTTTTATGATCAAGAACCTCGCCTAAGTGGTTGGTGACGCGATTTCCTTTTGCAAGGGAACCACGAGTGTGGTGACTCCACAATCCGTCACCTCTCAAAAACAATAAAGAAATTAAACGGTTTTCAAGAATTTTGAAATCGATTTTTTAGAAGTTTTCAAAGCTTAGATATGAAATTGGATATAATGTTATAATAATATAATACATATATTCATATTTTTTGTTTAGTATAAAGAAATATCTTAAGAAAGACTAGTGATTTGATTCTTAAAATAAATTAATGGATTTTTAATTTTTTGTGGTATTTATATCTATCATTGTCTTGTTATTAGACGATAAAAATCAATTACTTTTGCTGGTTGGTTACAATTAATAAACGTATGAGCAGAAATTAATCACTGCGCATATTAAAACCATGCGCGTAGACTTAAAAAAAAAAAAAGCTCGTACAACAATGAAAAATGAACGGATTGAATTGATTTTTTTATCATATCTCAGGAATGTCATTGGGCTGGTCTGGTGAAAATTTCAAACCTTAAGTCGTAAAAAGCTGGCGTTAGCGAGCGATTTTCTCGAAAACGGTCGAAATTTTCAAACGCTCGCGGGCGAACGGCAAAAATTTTCCGACCTTGGCCAATAATTTTTCCGGAGTCTGGTGACCGAGTACTTTCGCTGAAAAAAAGAATTTTGGAAATCCGAGCACGCTAAATAATTTTCCCAGTAAAGCGTTTTTTTCCTTGTTCTATTATACAGGGTGTTCAGTAAGTCAGGAATCGGGTTTCTATTGTTCTCATTGTTTGTAACAATGAGAACAATAGAAACCCGTTTCCTGACTTACTGAACACCCTGTATAATAAGATATTTTGTAATTAGTCGGGTGATTTATGACAAACCTGTCACTCAGTAAAATTTATCACAGGACACATATTTCTAAATATTAGACACTTTCCTTTAACATTTAGCTATTTTCGTTTTAATATCATAATAAACACTCTACTATGAGTATGGTAAATCATATATGCATATTGTACTTTATATTTTCACTTGTTGAACAATCAACATCAATCTCTGTTATAAATTATCATCGTGAAAAGAAGTCGCCTAGCTGATTACTACAGTATCTGTTCAAAATTTAGTCGTTCACAGGTATCTGTCAAATTTGCGTGAATTGATGTCGACGTTATCCGTCATTCAGTTCAATATGTGTTTGTTACGGTCGATTGGTCTGACCATTTTGTTTCTCAAATGTTCTCGTAATAAAATTACAATATCTCTATACAATTCATTTTTTAGCTTCAGTCCGAAGCAGAAAAGGTATAATTTTGCTATGATGTATTTTTTTTTTGGCCCTTTTACCACTTATTTTCAACTCTTACTGGGCTGTCTTTTGATGAACAATATTTCAAAAGCTCACAAATCGTATCTAATCGAAGACATTAACCTCAAAAATTAAAGAAATTTCCTTCGTTCTCCGTAGATGAAGGAAATCCTAAAAAAAAATTATTAATTTAAAAATCTGTAATTTTCGTTATTAATTCAACTTTTTTTTATATTAATACTGCCAAAAACTTTTCAAAAAAGAATGGATTAAGACAAAAATTTTTTATTGATATATTAGGTATTTATAGAGTTGTAAAAATATGGTATTTTATTGTTCCGTTGTATAACATCGTATAATACTATATAAAACTAGAGAAATTGAAAGAATGTTAACATTTATTGATTTTAAAAATTGGCTTTATCAGCCGTCGCCCTACTATTAGTATAAGTGACCATACGCCACGGTGTAAAGTCCAGCAAGTGCCGCACGGCCGATGATGACCCGCCCCAAATTTTACGTTAAGTCTTCTTCCCGTTGTTAAAGTGGCAACGTCGATGATATACGCCACCGACTCCTCACGTGTCGCATGACTGAACCGACCCGCATCCGCGTACCGTCGCCATTAACGCTGCTAACTTTTCGACGCCCGAGAATCTTGCCGGGAACCGAGTCGCCGAAGCTTACAAAAGTGCCGCGATATTATTTGAAGATTATTTTAATTTTGTCCAAGTCGTATAAAATATATATATATAGCGTTATAATTTTTTTTTAATTTCTTCAATATATTAACATACGAATAAAATAATCTATAAAATAGAATTAATTTCTAAATAATTTATATTAATGAATATTTGTTTTTACTACAATTCTATTGTACAAATAAGAACAACTCGAATAAAAATTTTAAGTTCTATATAACTGCGTTTTGAGTTTAGTATTTAAACAGTTTTTAATGAAACATTATTTCATAATGTTTTAATATTTTTATATTTTGTAGTTCTCAAGAAACAATAGTATTAATAACTATTGAAAATATAACAATTAGAATTTTTTTTTCTAAGGCAATCAATTTGAAAAAATTATGTATTTGAGATTTCAAATAATTCTGTCTTAAGCAAGTAAAAATAAGCCTATAAATTACCATTATTATACCATATTATTAAACACTTGTTTTGTTTTATAAATAGGCAATTTTTAGATAAATGCGATATATAATTTAACATTTACGATAACATATCGAAATTTCAATTGTTGAAAACGTAAATGAAAAAAATTTAATTGAAAAATAATTAAATTTAAGTACTTACTGATATTTTCAAGATATCATATATTTTAGCTTACATTTTTTTTTTTTTTTAAATATAAGTTTTTAACATTACTGAGTAATTTATTTCCTATTTATAATAAACAAAATTATCACCCAAACTGAATAAAATATTTATTTTTTTAAATTTCAAGTTTACCTGAGACCTACTAGAAATATATCATATAATAATGACGTTAATAATAATATCCACGCTATCAATTTTTGCTTTAAAATTTGGCATTAATGTGGACCGCTCTAAAAATGCTGTGAGGCATTACTTCAGGTTTGCAAACGCCGTCCCTAAAACTCAGACCTCCACGTTGTGAATCAGCCCGAAATTAATTAAGAGCTAATTCATAACGTGGTATGGCCCCTTCCCGTATAGCCGGATCCCAGAATGAGATTTGGCAAAATAACTCACAACTAAGAAAACAATTAAAATAAATTCTTGAAGCGCCCCTCCAGGTCCTCCTGTGCTGGGCAGCGCGGCTGCCTCTATCTCAAGCGTTCCACTCTTTCCTTCTTTTTCAAGACAGATTCGGTGAACGCCTGGACGAGCCTCCACGCATCCTGACTCCTCAACATAAGGTCTACCATGGACCTGACTCGGAACGTGGACTCTAGTCGGGACTCCAAAGTGTTCCGCTCTTGGGCTCAAGCCTCGCATTAGAAAAAGTTGTACAGAGCGTGATTAGCCTCTACCGGGTGATCTGAACAGTGGCCGTCCGTCGGTGCGCTGCTTTGCGAATACGGTGTAAGTACTTATTAAATCAGCCGTGGCCGGACATTACTTGGATGAGACGATAAGTCATCTCACCGTGAGTCTAGTCCACCCACCTGCCCAGCAGATACAATACCGCCTTGATAAAATTTCTACATAAATATAAATATTTTTGAATCTTCTTTTGGCTAGGTCAGAGGAAAATTTATAAAATATTGGTGTCGATCTCTCTATAAAATATACTCTTTCAAAAGGAAATACTTGTTCAACAAATGTAAAAAAATGATTAAGGCCAAATTATAAACTATATTTTTAATAAAATATAGTGTTTTACAATCTTTTACAAGTAAAATCAATCATAGATTTTGTGTAAATAAATCATATAATTTAAAATTTGAATCATTTTCGTAAGTAATTATATTGGCTATATGACATGTAGTGTAAATCGTATACGTAGTTCATTTAATACTAAAATCAACATTGGATTACTTGAGATATTATTGCATTACATAGGACATAAGATGGTACAATTTAACCTATGCTTTATAACCTCCAAAAATCTATTGTGAAATAAACCATTATTAAATTAATAAAAAAATTATATGAATTTAAGAAAATATTTAGCTCTCCATTAATCTACCCATATCACCAAGTCTAATCATATATTGTCTATTATATTATTTTTTTATTACTTTATAATTTTAATTTGTATGTATGGTTTATTACACTATATATTTATTTAAATATGATTTATTTTCTATTTATCTAAAAATGAATTATGTTAAAACAGTAAAACACGCTTAAAAATTATAAAAAAGAAGAGTAAAATTATAGAATACCATAAAAATTTACAATTTCACTTTAAAAAAATCCGAAAAGATTAAAATGTTTTCAAAAAGTATTATGATTTTATGCGTGTGTAATTTGATTAATATAATATCGTCAAATGAGGTAAGTTGAAATTAATACTTATAATACTTAATAATAATTTATCAAAAATAAAGTATGGTTTCTTTTTAAATTAATGGAATATTATTATTAAAAGTTACTTAAAAAGTTCTTAATAAGAACATTGATTTTTAGATTTTAGATAATTTTCAAATTATTAAAAAAATATGAGAAATTATATTAATATTGATATATAAATAAACATAACTGTCTACGATAAAATGATTGCAAATGTAATAAAATAGAGGGCGATCTCGGGTTTGAACAATATTGGGTTAATTAGGTTAAGCATTAAAGAAGTTTCCTGGTTTTTCTTAATGAATTTATACGTAAAAGTTTGTTTAAATTCTGAAAAGATTAATTAAAAGTTCTATTTATCTTAAAAACACATTTAATATAATAATATTCGTGTTACTTAAATATTGTCAATATTTTTCGTTTATACATTGCACTAAAAGGTAATTATTTTAACACTAGCCGTTTAATTTATCTCAATTTCTACATTTTAATATATTTTCTTATTCATCAATTATAACGTAGGGGTGTCACCATTTTTTTATCTCGCATATATATTGAATATATTTTTAAAATAAAAATAATCTAATTAGAAAAATAATTAATCGATTACATAATTTTGATCAGTTTTTCAGAAGTTATTAACAATTTTATAGCGTAGTTGGGTTGGGATTATTTAAATTTTTAAAATAACTCTACCAATTCCGTTAACACCAAAATAAAATACATAAAAAATATCGACCAATTATTTTCTAAATTATATAATTGTACCTAAAAAAAATGAAGTCGAAACCCCTAAAAGTCATAAAAATTAACAGATAAAATAAGTTTTAACTGCCAAACATATATTTTTATCCTGAAACTATTTGTGATTATTTGTTCTTTAGTCGTTATTTTAAAATATTTATGTTGAGAAATTTTTTACATTTACAGAAAATAAAATACATATCAAGTATCAAGAAGTATTTGATATTTAATAAAACAAATCTAAATTTTCAATTTAAATTCAATCCTGTTGATGAAGATTGGAAAAAAAATAAATGTGAAAGTTTAGGATTTACGTTCATAGAACATAAGGATTTTAAGTCAGCTCTTTGTCAAAATTACGATATTCAAGATTTCTATAAAGTTTTGTCTGACCTAATATGTGGAGATTCAAAATTTCAAAAAAAACTACATAAAAATATTTGCTTAGTAAGTTAAAATGTATCATTTAACACAATTATTTCTAATAAATTCAATTGTTTTATGTATGATAAAACTAGAGCATAAAAACAAATGATGACATTAAAAAACTTTTTCCTGATGAAGAAGTGTTTAATGATTATGTAAATCATTATATAATATTTGAAAATCCAGGTATGTTTTATGGGCATTAAATGATAATTTCTGTATTCTTGTGAACTACTCATTTATATGCAAAATAAAAACAATATTTAAAATTTTTAGCTTCGATGCGAAGCTGAGAAGGTATTGGTTTTACTATGATGTGTTTTTTTTTTTTTGTGTCTGTTACCACTTTTTTTCATCTCTCACCGAACCAATTTCTTTCAATGATACGTCAAAAGATCACAAATTGTATCTAGTCGAAGACATTACCCTCAAAAATTGAAAAAAAAATGCCCTCGTTCCCCGTAAATGGGGGAAACCTCCAAAAAAATTACAAATTTAAAAATGGCTAAATTTCGAAATTTTTTCAATTTTTGTTACTAAAAACTGCCGTAACTTTTTTAAAAATAACTGAATCAATATAATTTTTTTTTTATAGATGCTTGATGTCTTTACCTATCATTTGATATATTTTTTTTGTAAATTTAACCCTTTATCTGCCTACAGGGGGTATTTAAAATGACAACTTTTTAAAAAAAAATTAACTTTTTCAACTTAACTTTTGAAAATGTTCCGGAAGGTCTGACACTTTTATATATATCTTTAATTGAAGCTAATGTAATATACTTTAATTTGAAAAAAAAAATTTGACCTCTGGACTTGTATTCATGGTGAAAATGGTTATCAAATGCTATTTTTGTGTGAAAATTCTCGATTTTATAATTTACATTTTTTACTTTAAAGTGCTATAACTTTTTAAAAAATGTATGGATCAATACAATTTTTTCA